ATTGTAGTATGAATACCATAATTATAGTACAAAATCCAACATTGTATCCGCCACAATACTAGGTCATAGACAGTTTTTTCCCGTTCATTTTGTTATTTCACAGCTTTGAATCTGTTAATATTCAGTCGAAATGAATTGAAATTTGAATAAAATATCATTTTTGATACGATTACGATATGATACGATTACGATATTCAATTTTTATATCGATATATCGGATCAAAATATATCGGCTAAAAATATCGATATATTGATATTTTTCGGAATCACTCAGTCAGTAGGGCTGCGCAAATATAATATTAATCATATCGACATTTTAAAAAAGCATCGATAATTATCGAGCGAAAAATATCGTCAGATATATCGTCATTTTTCTCATGATTAAGGATACATATCTTCAAACCATTTAAAAAATTCAAAATACGTGAAATAAAATAGACGTGAAGAAAATATTTGAGTTTAGAGTAGTTTTTAAAGATAATGATAGACAAGGGGCACGCAGAGTATCTAGTAACGTTAAACACGAAACCAGAGTTTTAACCAGAATTCGATAGCCTGAAATAAATATCGAATATCGATATATCTATACGATATATATTCTATGGAAATATATCGATATTCTTAGCAGTGCTTCGTGGCAGTCTATGGGGAAGGCCTATGTTCAGCAGTGGACTCAAACAGGCTGAAATGATGATGATATCGATATTTTTAAATATCGAGATTTTTTGCTCACTACGTTTTTAGATAGGTGAGCCGTACAAGTTTAGAATATTGCGGCCACATATTTTTTATATATGAGAATGCATAGAAGAGGTGTACATACCTGAGCTTGATCTTTTTTTTCTTTTATGTGAAAGCACTATCTCTTTTTTTGTGCAATATTCATGGTCAGACAATTGAGGCCCTGAAGTTGGTCCTTCTGTAAATTTGAATGATTTGACCGAATGTTATTCACATCGTTTGTAGAGTTCCGAAAGGCCATGTCATTCAACGATAGCGCTACGCCACATTATTAATACATTAATGGTACTACTTTGATTTGTGGACATTTTTATACATATGCATAAATATTATAATATGCAGAAATAGTACTAATTTTACAATTGAAAGTTTAGTAGTACCTTCTGTCCCTGAAGTATTCAATAAAGTATATTGAAATGATAATTCATACAGCTGCTGTCCTGCTGACCATGAGTCTGGAAATAATTGCAAAATAAAAATAGAGTCAAAATCCTAAAAATATTATAATTCTAAATAATTCAGTTGCCAAACAAAATTGAAAAAGGGATAAATGTACCTGAATTATTAGGTCCAGCCTGGAATAATGAAACTTTAGAGTCATGTATCCCTTGAGAGGTTTTTGTTTTTGTAAAGTCAGTCTTCGAATAAATATGACAGGGAAATTCAACCAACATTTCATCAGGAAGTGGATCAGCTTTCAAATTTTTTGATGGTATGGCACTATTTTTCAGGCGATTTTTTCTTTTATTAAATGCTTTCTTGTGAAAATGGTTTCCACATACATATTTTAATGTATGCAACTTTTCAATGGGAACATATATTAAATCTTCTTTTCCCACAAACTTGACCCACTGTTTGCATCTGAAATTTTTTATTATTAAAATAATATAAATGTTTCTTTGTTAAAATCATAAACATTGATACCGAAGATCAAGGTAGGTAAGTAAATTTAGTGCTGAATGACGATAAACAATAATATTACTATAAAACTTATAGATGCATGTTTGCTCCGCCCAAATTTCCGGATCAAACAATTTTTATGGGCTTATCATCGCCACTTTGTTAGTATCAGGAGTGTTAGGTACAAACACATAATTATCAGGCTTTGCATTTTTTTCTTGCGTACTCGGCACACGAAATCAATTGTGTGGCATATCAATATTAAGAAGATTGTTTCTAAATCCTGCAAAATTGCACAATCTATTCGATCCTTGCTCATTTATGTAGGCACGCCATTCAAATATATAAAACATTCTGCCCCTACTTCTATCTTATATACTTACTTACCTACTTCAATATCTTATTTTATTTCAATGATACAAAATAAAGATGTTATCGATATGTGGATATTACAGTTGCAGTACATCACTAGCACACAATTTAAATGAGATAAATTCGTTAATTTTATTTGTTCTTAGCCTGCTCTACTTACATATGGCTGTAAAGTATCATATTTAAGTCCTTACCGGGCTTCATCTAAAGGAAATCTCGCCATAAACCATCCTTTTTTCATGATCCGAACGACTTGCTCGATTTCCACAAATTTCACAAGTAATGAACCGTTTTTTAGGTGGCATTTTGATTCAAAATATAACTCTAACCCGTCACTAATTTTGATGACAAATTATACTTCTAACATTTAAAATCCACACATTTACATTCAAAGCACGGGGGCCCGAAATGATGTTTTGACAAACAACATGACAGACTGACAGTGACACTTGTTGACGGAAGTATATTACTAGTGGGAATGTTTCAAAGAAGAAGAAGAAGAAATAGTGGGAATGTGATAGCAATATCCACCATTATTTGCCACTAAAGTCCATAAAAAAGATTTTTAGTTATTTTGTTCTTAGTTCTGGGATGCAAACTTAGGAATTTTCTTCCTAAATTGAGGAAGAAAAAATATACAATGGAAGTTTTTAGTAATTTTTTGGGGAATATTTTGGGGAGTCAAATTTTATTCATATTTTTGATTAAAAAAAAACTGCACAAAAATGCTTATTTTGAACAAAAAACATAATTTTTTTTAAGTTAAAAGTTGCCAAGCGAGCAGGTGGTTCACCTGATGTTAAGTGAATAGCACCGCCCATAGACATTTGCTACACTCGAGGGTCTGCAGACGCGTTGACAACCTTTTGAAAATTGGGCTCCGGCTACCTCACTCACCAGACGAAACGCGAAAGTATAATACTTCCACTTTACGCCGATCTTCTGTGAGGTCGTGGTACTTACCCGGACGAGCCAGTCCATTCGTGCAACAGCCGAGGCTGCTGCGTAGCCTTACTACCATTAAAGGGCTGCGCTGCTTTGGTGGACGTTAGGTCAAGGCATATGTGCCTTGTATGTATATTTTAAATTCTTCTGCTCTAAAATATAGCTTGAATGTTCCTCCTATACTCAAATATTGTATATATAAAAATATTGTAATTGATGATTGCGTATCCTTAAAATATATTAAAGTCATGAATGAAGCAAAAAAAGGGTATTAAAATTGTCGCCGGATATGTTTACAACTAAGTTAAGTATAACTTCAATAAAACTTATTATTGAAGTTATACTTCTTTTGGCACGTTAGGGAAAAATTATAAGAGTAATTTTTTACATTGCGCGCGCACACTGTCACGAAAAACTGACGCCGTGACGTTAGCTAGACATCTACGTATGTTGCGTGAGAACTGACAACTGTATTCACTATTTATTTTGTGATATTTAAATAAACTTTATTTAATAAGATAATGCGTTATAATATAACTTTCAATGTATTAAATACCTTTTTTCTATTGTTAGTTTCCTTTTTTCTATAAACGTAGAATAAGGCGAAAGATAATATTTTTGAAAAGATTTTTATCGTCTTACGCCAAAGAAGAATAACTTCTAACGCGCTTAAATAAGTACACATATCCTTTTTTATTTTATGTTATTTTGATTTTAGTGTTAACATATCTAAAGTAATATAATAATTATTAAATACAATTTCCTAGACCATTTAGAGTGAAATATTTAATTTTATCAGTTAATTCTTATACCGTGATAATATAAAAAAAATCTGATTTCAGATTTACAAAGTTTTTGTTTGAATTATTCAATTTTAGTTAGTTTTCGAATTACTTTAGAAGTATAGGAGTATTTTTGTACAGTTCGTAACACTGTACTATTTTGAAGTTTCGCTTCAGAGTAGGGATGGGCAAGTAAAAAAAAATATAGCGATATTTATGGTATCGACATTTTTAAAAACTATCGATAGATATCGAATGAAAAATATTGATAAATTGATATATCGATATATTTTAAGGTGTTTTTTTATTTATATTTCCAAACAATTCAAAATTCGTGAAAAAGAATAGACATGAAGAAAAAAGTAATATTTATTAATATTCTACTCAATCAAATACAATTTATTCGAACCAATAATCATCTGATATGGACATTATGAGCATCCTTTGTTTTATGTGCCCCCATGGCAAACGGTTTCTAGTTTTGGGTACTGTCTGAGTCACAGCATAAGCAACTCTTTCAGAAGACACCGGAAATGCCTGGCAAATTAGTCTTTTGAATTTCACTTCTTTTTAAGGTGTTTTTTTTTAATTTATTAATTTGTAATAGTATAAAATTGTACAATAAAAATAAAATCATACAAACTAACATAAGTATCACGCTAAATAGTTGAAGAATTCAACTAGTTAATCAACTTCTCATGATACTGAAGTGAGCCGAAGTCTAATAATATTTGAAACTTTTTCCAACGATAAATCATAAAGGAAAATAAATAAAACTTACTTACTTAGTACTTAGAATTTTTAAATTCCTACATGTGCAATTTTTTGTCTTTTGTTTTTGTAACTTTTTTGATTGGTTGGAAAAATAGATATAAAAAATGTTAATTGTTTGTTAACTTCAGGGTCATATTCGTCTCACACTGATGCTATAATAGTATTATTAATAGTATTTTCATGGTATTGGCTTAAATGTTTTGTTACCAGGCCATATAATCTTTATTAAAAAAAGTATTATCGTGCACGCACCTAGGAACACTAAACACCAAACTATAAAAAAAAATATCGAAATTGACACAAATTCGATAGTCGAAAATAAATATCGATATACCGGGAATAAAAATATCGATATATTTTGCCCATGCCTACTCCAGAGCAGATTAGATATAGTTTCAGTATATAATTATATATATCTTACCTACGGAACTATGGAGTAGGTAGATTCTTCGATCGGGTGTTGTGAGGGTGGGTCGTGCCGTTAAAATGACTGGTGTGGATGAAATACTGAATTATAAAAAAAATCCTGTCGACGATTATTACGCTTTACTTGGCTGCGACGAAAATTCTTCGGTAAGTATAGTGCTATACAAATGTCAAGTTGTCAAGTATCCTTTACGATTTATCTTATTCTAGCTATTAAGGCTTTTGTTACTTGTATTGATTTCGGTGTTCTATACTATGCAATGACCCTATTGAAGCTGAGGCTTCTAGAGGTGACCTACATTCTACTCGACATAGTTTTGCTCGCCTGGAAGGGCGCTTTTGTATACAAAGTAAAATGTTATACAATTTTATGTGAATCATTGGGATTCCCAGAACAACACAATAAAAAAAACGTAACGTTGTGTCTTATTATATTGTTGTAAGTTCTTATAAAAGCCAATTGTGGGAATTTCAGGTTGAGCAGATAACTGCAGAATATAAATTGTTGGCTCTGCAGCACCACCCTGATAAGAATGATGGAGATAAAGATGCTGAAGCCAAGTTTCAACAACTAAAGGTGGTGTACCTACATCAATTATAAAATTGTTCGTAATATGAAATGTTGTGCAATGTTTTGTCGATATTGAAAAAAATTCTTTGTTACAGGAGGCAAAAGAGACTCTTTGTGACCCATCTAAACGGGCCCTCTATGACAAGTGGAGAAAGAGTGGCATAGCTATGGGTTATAAGCAGTGGCTTGGCATGAAAGATCATGTGCAACAGTCTATGCACTGGTCCAAGCCTAACACCAAGGACCGTATGTTAGAGGGTGAGTCTGGGCAATCCGGGCCTTCCAGCTTGGGTCCAAGTAATGCCGCTGCTCGTAGAGCTTCCGAAGGAGGAGCTGCTCTTTGGGGGCGTTGGGGTGGAGGTAACCAAGAACCTCCATCAGAAGTGATCTCTAAGTTTCGTAACTATGAGATCTGAATTGGCATTTAATGTGGCCAATTTTTTCTTAATTTTCATTGTTAAAATATTTCTGTTTTATTAAAGAATATTCTTGTTTACTTTTAACAATGCCTGGACAAAAACTAATTGCATAATTTTGATTGACTTAAAATGATAACTTGCCATTTAATTACTTCATGTTATATTTTTTATTAGATTTATTTATATATGATAACATAAGAAGCCATTATATGGCTTTATAATCATCAGGTCAGCTCGTGAAAAATGTTCTCGAATGTAGCTCGTTCTTAAAATCTATATTTGATGTTAAATGTGTTTTAAATCTGTATGTTAGCATTTTGTAGAACTAAACTGAATGTTAGGACTCCCAAATTAAATGTGAAACCATTATTAGTATTAAAATGTCCCTAGCTTTAAGCTGTGCACATTCCTAAGTCCAACTTATGAGTCTGATATTATTGAACATTTCTGCTCTAGTACAATATGTTAGAATCTATAAGAATCTCTATATTTTGAAGATTATATTTTTGATCCTGTTTTTACTATTTATCTATTGTTAGTATTACATTTTCCTACAGTATATGGAGAGAGAGTGTATATCAGAAAGTTGTGAGATTTTTACAGGGTTTGAGAGGCAGGTACATTGGTTTATTTAATTTTGTTTAAACAACCTTGACAACTACATTTGCTTGCTGGTAATTTATTCATCTCGTTTTTTACTTCTGTAGGTATATTGTTGTTTCCCAAGTTTTAGCTATAAGTAGAGATAACTATGTTATTATGTTTAATGTTTAATCAGTATTTAAAATTGGATGTTTTGAAAACTATGAATGTTATATTGATGGAGTAGCGACATTGAAGATGTTTTTATCTTATAATCACAATAGTTATACGAAACTTTAATTTTGATGTTGTAATGAATGTCTTGAAAACAATAAAAGGTACCACTGCAATCATGTGTTTACTTTACAATTTAAGTTGTCAAATTATTATTATTTAAGGAATATAAAGTGATAACATTGATTTATTTAATTTATTAACATTTTTTATCAGAGTATATTAATTTTCGTAAAGTTGCCCAACAAAATTATCCAATTTCAATTTTATTTCATGACAGAAATATACAACAAAAAGTAACTAAAACACGTATGTCATAAACTCTGCTTGTATGTACGTTAATTAATCCATACTAATATTATAAATGCGAAAGTAACTCTGTCTGTCTCGCTTTCACAGCAATAATACTAAACCGATTTAAATGAATTTTGGTACACAGACAGTCTAGAGCGTGAAAAAGGACATAGGCTATTTTTCATTGGAATTATATATTTTAAATAATAAATATATATTTTAAAGACAGATATTTAAAGGCTTCCACGGGAGCGAAGCCGCGGGCGAAAAGCTAGTCTTCAATAAATTGTCAAGTAAAAAATAGGCTGTATCGAAATGCAAAATATTGTTTTCATAAGAAACTTTTTTTGACTGTTCACATAAGTACAATTAAATAATAAACTCGTACGCAAACAGGTATCATACAGCAGAAAAATTAATATACTATATAGTAGGTAGACAATAAGTCACCCAGTGACCTAATTTAAAGGTTTGCATTAGACTTGTCCGCTGGTATTCATTATTCGTTCTTACTGCCTCCGTTTACTCGCGGATGTTATTGGAACTAAAAAAATTCCTGCGCAAACTAAAACGAAGGCATTTCTAGACTAAACATAAGCGATGTATCTTTATCTATTCCATCGAAACCAAGTTATGCTGTCAGAGGATATTTGTATATGAGAAAGAGCAAAATGAATAGTTATACCCGATATTATGTGCTTACTGCCGCCAAACTGATATCTACATGGCCAATGGGGCAGCGGCTTGAGAACCTTTGAAAAGAGTGAACCTCGTAATCAGATTCACTCTTTTCAAAGGTTTTTTATGCAATGGTCGAAATGTTAAAGTGTAGGGATTGGAGAATAAAGTACCCACAGATACTTCCACTTCCCTGCGATATCCTGCGTAACGCCCTCACATACCTCCCTGAACAAGCCTAACATTTCGTGCTACAGCATAAGCTGCTACGTAGCTCTACATCTGTTCACAAACGCACTAGAACGGGGGTGAGCAACCTTTTAATCAATGGGCCTATTTAAAATTCAAATTTTTTTGGCGAGCCGCACATAATAATTTACGAAACTACTTATTAATAAATATTAGAATAAAAAAATATAAAATAAAAAAAGTAAAGATTTCATATACAAATTTTAATGCAAGGTAAAAACAAACAAGAAAACAACAGAAAAACGAACAAAAAATGTTTCGGTTCCGTATATACCATTTTATTTTAATTAATATTATTACAATATATTGATGGGAGAAATTCGATAAAATAAATTCAATTTTAGAAACGCTTGGCGGGCCGCATAAACATGTTTAAGGGGCCGCAAGCACTTGCACTAGAATAGAAGATACATTCAAGGTACTCTGTCGAACTCGACGATGTTTGAATACAAATGACAAGCCCGTGTTAACTATCACTGTACTCATCAAGGAGTCGCCGTGTATTGAAAGCGGCTAAAGTTATAAAACGCTTATAATCTTTAAATTTTATCGCTGCTTATTGGTGTATTCAAATCCGGGATCGAAAATGTATCTTTTGAATATTTTACATGAATAGCCGTGATAGCTCAGTGTCCGGGCGCTCGCCTTTATCTTATATCTAATACCTTTAAACGAGCAATTCTTGTATATATATATGTATAAAGATTTGTCTTTAAATTTACTATGTATTTAAAACGATGTTAGTATATAACAGTCAAATCTGGTGTTATTACTGCACAATTTCCACTAAACAAACTTGCTTATTACAAGTTCGGTGCTAGTATTAAACTAAAAGATTCGTACAATAGATATATCAGTGGATTGAGTAATTGATGAAACCTTTAAACGGATCTTTACTCATGTTCATGTGGCTGTCCCTGTGACAGTTTTACATTAGATTTTGCAATACTTAGGTACTTCTTATATCCTATGTCCATAAGAGTCAAAACGTTATTTACCTAAGAGAGCCGATAGAATATGTTAATGCACCCGGTATGTGGCGGTATGTGCGGAAAAGCTCAGTAAATAAAGGGAAAAAATCTTTTGTAATTCATTTTAACTTAATTTCTTTTTTTTTTTTATGGGAAAAAAGCAGCAAACGAGTAGGAGGCTCACCTGAGTATATCTACGTCTAGTGTGTAATATACGGTATATTTTGTAATTTCTCAAGAATATAGTTATTTAGTTTAAGGACGCCTCTCGTGTTATGAAACTGATTGGGATAAGATAATTTTAAAAGTAAAATGCTAGAACAATTTGTTACAGACATTAATTAACCAGTAATCAATTGTTACACTGATGTCTTACGTGATCTATGTAATGCCGCGGCCATGTATATTATACATAGTTATATCACGGGTTGGCCGCGCCATTTCCTCTTATGGTACATTTTTCAGAGAAAATGTTATGTAAATACGTCGAATGGCATCCCAACACAAAATAACTGCGCGCAGTTGAAGAATCAAGAATCATCGGCATTTCGATGCACAGCTCATACTGTTTGTAAATTCTGAGGATTATGATGGAAAAAATAACTACCTATGGCACGTGCTACGTTAAGTAATAATTTCTTCTCACGCTTTATTTTAGGCTGCTTAGAGAAAACAAAAAAACTTTAACGTCTTACCAATAAAGTTATTAATTTGCCATTTTTTACATTTCTTGTATATTTACCCAAATCGTTCACCGAAAACCATACTATTATCTAGGGCTAGTGAAGAGCTATTGGGTATTACTAATGGCGATAGAGATTCGCGGGGCTCTGTTTTCTAACTATGGGCCAACCGCCAGTAGGCGGTGTGCGATGGCTCGATATCTTCTAGTAGAGCGTCCCACGTGGTTTGGCATTGTTCCGATACTTGATCTTTGACTTCTGAAAGCTGAAGGTGGCGAAGTCGAGTTCAGTTTGATTCTGGCGCTTTTATTATTTACGTTCTCGCTGCGGTGTTATGTGAGTTTTAATTAATCCCTTAACTTTTTGTTTATTATTTATAGAATGAGCAAATTAAGAAAAAAATCTAGAGCTATCTCTAGCAATATTTAAAAGGAAGGCTAAGGAGAAAGAAGAAAAACATTATAATGTTATAAAGGAAAAATATTGAGACGTTTTTTTTCAAAATTAAAAAGTATTGATTCTGAATCTTCTAAGGCAATCCTAAGGTGCGTCTACTGTCGACCCTATGTAATACGAAATTACTACTAGTTGTAAACAACCACAAAATTTATCCGACCCTACGCCGCATACTCCGTCAGCAGTAGAAGTTGTGAAGCAGTCGCAAAATAAACTGTTTATGGTGGATTGTGACCTACTCAATTGGGATATCAATAACGAAACACAAGAACATAATTATTGGACTGTATTGGTTAAGATACGGTATTTTTTCCATTAGCCCCGGGTATTTTTCGACCTAAAAAAATTTTATTCGGTAGAAAAAATCACTAATGAAATAATCAACAAGTAGAACCCTCTGGATGCTTATAGTTTTCGAGAAAAAAATATTTAAAATTAATTATTTACACTAAAGTGTGGCGTGTATAGCCAGAAATTATTAAATAGGGAATTTCATGATTTTGGGGTTTATATGCCATTCGTACCTTAGGGTCACCGATGTAAATGCTTGCCTACAGCGCTCCCAACGTTTAATCCGCCTCTGCGTAAATCCATGGCAATATAGTGCGCTTCTAAATCGCCGAACGCGATATTATGCCGTAATCAAAATTTCTTTTTTGCTACCCTGCAGTGCATAGCAAAGTAAAAGTAGTTTTAAAATAATGTTTTATTCTGCAAGTTAGGTGATGGGTGATGGAGACCCGCCCTTTTAAATTTTAGCAAACCATCTTTAACAACACTCACTTCTGCGATAACTAAAGTAACTACCCTAGAATGGATTGATAATGATTCCTAATGTCTGTATTTT